CACTTCCTTCCTCCTCTCTAGCCACACCTACATGCTCAGTCATTTCTACGTGCTTGAGCTGGAAGAGCATCAGTATATTCTTGTAACACCTAGCAGCACTTGTTTCTCAGACAGGAGTTTTCATATTCCAAACACTCTTGACTTAGTTAGCTTGCTTCATTTTAGGTCTAGCCTAGCTGTGCACATGTGTGAGCATGTGCCTTGCAACAAGGATGCTTTAAAGGGGCTGGTTTCCGTGATGTTTGTTCTTCAGAAAGCTATCGCTCAATTGTGGAGTTGTTAAAGATGCTGATTTTGAAGAGCTTAGCATGAGAAAAAGCTTATTCTACAAAGACAAAAACAATTAGCCATTGCGTTTAAGGCATTGGCTTTGTAAGAGTGTGTCAGGTTTGGTATCCTCCCCCAACACAGATTGCAGGTGAGTTTTTCCTTGTGCAGTTTTGCATTTTCCAAATTTGATGAAGTAACTATTAGTTTATTCAAAAATTTGTTTTTGGGAGAGAAATATTTAATAGTTAAAAACCCTTCTCTATGCCTGACAATCATTCTGTGTTGCTTTGTGTATTTCTGTCAGTTTTTCTAAAAAATTGTATCTGGCTGTGTACTAAAGGACAGCTGTAAAGCTGTGCTGTCTAGTTTATTACTAAAGAAGATTTGCAGATGATTTTTTTTTCTTACTATAGTCCCCACACTTTTTACCAACCTATATATTATTATTGATGTTTAATAAGGATCAGGAGAAACAAATAGGCTGAATAGATGTTTACTCAGGGAGAAATAACTTACAACATAGACAGATGAACACCAGCAGGTTTCTGGTCCCAAGGATGCCTCCGGATGTACTTCTGTCCCCATGCTGCAAGCAAGAGAGCTCTCTGAGCCCCCTCCTCAGCCTTAGTTCCCCCAGGTCACATTCGGCCCTGTCTCCACCCCCAATGGGCGTAGTCTATGCCGCAGGTGTGGACAAGGTGAATATCTCACTATATATTAAATTTGAATTTTTTCATAATTGAAATCACACTCCTAGAACAAAGGTGAGTGTGAAACCAGTGACAGTATTGCTAGCATTCATTGCTACTCTTGAAGTGAAAGCTTTCCTTCCTGTGCTTTACAGATTTGCCTGAGGAGTCTAGTACTTCAAGATGACGTGATGATGTAGCCCTATAACCTTGTCATGTGGGAGGCTGAGGCTGAGGCAGGAGGATCTTGAGTGGAGGCCAGCCTGGACTACAAAATGATACTGAATCAAATAATGGGGCAGGGGAAGCAAATACTTAGAGAGGACTCGGATGAGTGGTTGAGCTTTGTTGTACCTACTTTGCAAGTGCACAGTCAGGATCCGGCAGATGCAGATTTGGGACCTTCTACCCAGGAGCCTTTAGAAATGACCAGTGTTCTTGATGTCCATTGCCACTATTTCCTTAGAGCTGTGATTCAAGCTGGAGCTGGGGCTAGGAGTCAGGCCTGGGACTGGGGCTGGGACTTAGTGACAGAGAACTTGCCTAGCGTGAGCTTCAGCCTCTGGGAGTAGGAGGGAAAGGGTAATGAATAGCAGGGAGAAAGAGACTAATAGACTGGGTGACTGTGGACAGATTTGCGGGTTTTGGGTTTGTCCTGTCCTAGAATACATAGTTTTATTTTTAGCAAAATTGAAACAAATAGAATACACCAAAATTATCTTCTACATTTTCCTTTAGGAGAAGGAAATAACTAACAAATAGTGGTAACAGTAATTTGGCATGCAGTTTGCAAAGTATGTTCTGGAGCCATTACAGACTCACGTAACCCTCTCACAGCTACTTCTCAGCACTGCCATGGTGCCTGGCACATGTTCACTGTATGCATGTGTGAAGGCCAGAGGTCATCATTAGTGTCTTCCTTGGTTATTATCCACCTGATCCCCCCCAAATTTAAACATTTACTTACTTATTTACTTACTTATTCTGTGTGTGTGTGTGTTCACGTGCGCACGCACGCGCGCGCGTGTGTGTGTGTGTGTGTTCACGCGCTTTCCACAGCTGTCTCTTGTGAAGGTCAGAGGACAATTTCTGGAAGTCTGTTCTTTATTTTTATCATGTGGGTTCTAAAGATAGAACTCAGGTTGTCAAGCAAGGACCTTTCTTTACCCCTGAGCCATCTCACTGGCTCTGCACCTTACGATGTTCTGAGACACAGTCTCTCTCCGGGCCTGAAGCTCATTGGTCTGGCTAGGCTGCCTGGCCAGTGAGCATGAGCTCAGGGATCCACTGGTTGTGCCCACCCCCTCCCCAGCCTTTGCATGCTGGGTTACAGATATGAGCCACCATGGTCAGCTCTTCTATGGGTGCTGGGGAATGTGCAAACACTGTATACACTCAGCCATTTCCTCTGTCCCAGGTGTAAAATGTCCTCCGATTGATTTATCTAGTCTGGTCTATTTGCCACTTTCCAGAAATACATCTAAACAAAAATAATAGAGGAAAAGAATAAAGGTGTTTGAAGGTGAAAGGTGACATTGCAAGACTATGAAGCACACACATAGACGGTAGGAACCACTGAACCTAGAGTTAATTGAGGTTAGACAGAGTCTATGGCCTAATAAATAAGAGTTAAAGTTGCGGTGGGACCTGCTGTCCATGTGCAGAGACACTTCAGTTTAGATTTCCCAATATATACTGGCCATTGAGATCATAGTCCAGATGAGCCAGGGTAATGCAGAGGACAGAGGAAATTGGCTCTTTTTCCTGACACTTTCTTATATATTAGTGTTTTTTGTTTTTTTAAAGATTTTATGGGCTGGAGAGATGGCTCAGCAGTTAAGAGCACTGGCTACTCTTCCAGAGGACTGGAGTTCAATTCCCAACAACCACATGGTGGCTCACAAGGATCTATAATGAGATCTGGTGCCCTCTTCTGGCCTGCAGGCATCATGCAGGCAGAACACTCTTATAAGTAGACTATATACATAAATAATGTTTTATTTTGTGTGGGTGTGCCTGTCTCTTGCTCAGTTCCCCCTCCCCTTGTGTGTGTCCACAGGGAGATGTGAAAACTGGGATAGTACAGAACTTGTTGTGTGACCGGTGTGTAGTACTCATTCAGAATGGTAGTGCTGAATGAACACAGTGGCTTCTAAAATATGAAACATGGTAGTGAACGTTACTGTTGGCCTATTAAGTTTATTGTATGTGGATTTCTGAGGTGGCTCTAACTAAGTGATTTGGGTAATATTGGAGTCAATGTTTCTATGATAATGATTCCATGCATCGTTTCCATAGATGCATTAAAACTTACAGTTTCAGCATCCCAAGTATAACGTTACTCACTGGTCAGATTTGTCAAGAGAGGGCCTTGAAGGTTGAAAATGTAGCTCAGTGGCAGAGTACCTCTCCAGTGCTAGACTTTGGGACTGATCCAGTGTAGGCCTTGAAATCTGAGTTAGGCTGAATTTTAGCTTTAATACCTAACCTGTCATTTGTATGTAGAGTTTCCTTGGCTTTCAAATGAGACAATCTGACCTTAGATTCCAATGACATAATACAGTCTAACCTCCATGAATGTCTGTGGTAGGGTTTCAGTAAGTGTGGGCTTTTCTTCTGATCTTTGAAATAACAGTGAAGCGTAAAGGAATGGGGTGCTAGTGTTTGAGTGCACTACTGCCCTAGTATGCCTAAGTTTTAGTTTGAGGGTGTGTGTGTGTGTGTGTGTGTGTGTGTGTGTGTGTGTCTCCATCATTAAATAGCACAGGTAGCATATCTGCCTGCCTGCTTTTATAGCACACAGCTAGGAATATGAGAAAAGGCTTTACCAAAGTAGTGTGTGCACATTAATAGGCTGCGGTTTGCCCGGGAGGTCAGCACAGTCTTCTCTGGGTTCTGTACTCATTTCTTAGAGTTGTTGTTCAGCTTGTGGGATTTAAAGTGAGATATTTTAACTGGTTAAAATTGTTTGTTTGTTTGGTTTTCCAGACGGGGTTTCTCTGTATTGCTTTGGAGCCTGTCCTGGAACTAACTCAGTAGACCAGGCTGGCCTCGAACTCAGAGATCCTCCTGCCTCTGCCTCCCAAGTGCTGGGATTAAAGGTGTGCTCCACCAATGCCCAACAAATGATATAATTGTATATATTTGTTTTTCCTGAGTCAAGGTCATTTATAAGAACATATTTGTTAGAGGTTTTTAGGCTGAAGGTTTTAAGTGTGATATGAAATATGGCTTCTAGAACCAAACACTTTTTGAGACTTAAATGATCTGGAGAAGTGCATGCCTGTGTACTCTGGGAAAGTGAGCAGCCATGGTGGTTTATGTGCGAAAAGTCATGGCGATGGGCGCGAGTGAGTGGTCTCCAGCCAGAACTGTTTATTAAGTATCTGCTGTGTCTACAGACTATCTAATCCCTGTTGCCATGAAGCAGATACTTGCTTGGTAGACATTTTGGGAAATAAATTGCATTTCAAATGTAGTAAGGCAGTTTTGGTTGTCCTCTTGGTATCAGTATTGGTGTAGACTTGGGAAGATGGAGAAAATGGTCTTTAGGAACCTCTAGATACTTACAGATTACACGGTATCACTTGGAGATGCATGGACAGAAGGTAAGAGAAGGCTGTGCCTGAGGGCCCTCCATGTACCTCCTGCAAGTACAGCTAGTGTTTGGATGACAGGAGACAGCTGCTGGGTTTCTCACTATGTGAAGGTGCCTCTCCCCTTCCTTGTCAACTCTCATCATGTTTTTAAAGGCTGTTGGAATTTTACTTTTGTATAATATATTTATTGTTTAAACATAGTTTATCAGACGTGTCAGTTTATTTCTGATGCTCCCCCATCCCAAAAAAATACTTGCAACGAGCTACTGCTTTTTGTTTGTGGAATATGGCACTTAACTTCTCAACCTTTATTTTGAATTGTAAACTCTAAATATATAAATAAGTTTTTAGTGATGACCCTGACTTAAGGCTCTCAAAATAAAACAAATAAAAATTAGGAAGAAAGAAAATCTATGTGTTGATTGTCTCTCTTGTTTTACAGGTATCCATTGCTATGCTGATAATGAAGGCTTTATTTCCAGCAGATACGCTCATATGAGAAGACCCACTTCAAGAACTTTACGTATTTTTCCCCTTGTTGCACCAGCATGGCAGGGTTCAAGCGAGGATATGATGGGAAAATTGCTGGATTGTATGATCTGGATAAAACCTTGGGGCGAGGCCATTTTGCAGTGGTTAAACTTGCCAGGCATGTCTTCACGGGCGAAAAGGTGGCAGTGAAAGTCATTGACAAGACGAAGCTAGACACTCTAGCCACCGGCCACCTCTTCCAGGAGGTGAGGTGCATGAAGCTGGTGCAGCACCCAAACATCGTTCGTCTCTATGAAGTCATAGACACCCAGACCAAACTATATCTCATTCTAGAACTTGGAGATGGAGGAGATATGTTTGATTACATAATGAAACACGAGGAGGGTCTTAATGAAGACTTGGCCAAGAAGTATTTTGCTCAAATAGTTCATGCTATATCTTACTGCCATAAACTACATGTGGTTCACAGAGACTTAAAACCAGAGAATGTAGTCTTTTTTGAAAAACAAGGCCTTGTGAAGTTAACAGACTTTGGCTTCAGCAACAAATTTCAGCCAGGGAAGAAGCTCACTACAAGCTGTGGATCTCTTGCGTACTCTGCTCCAGAAATCCTGCTTGGTGATGAATATGACGCCCCTGCAGTAGGTAGGTAACCTACCCAGGGCTACCCATTGGCGTTCTGCCAGCTGGTGTTAGGTGGTTGATTCATGTGTTTATAACTGAAAATAATTCCAAAGAGAATTTTGATATGTGTTTTACTTCATAAGCTTGGCTTCATGCATACTGTGTGTTTCTACACCAGCAGGCAGGTTGTTTCAAACTCAAACTTACATGGCAAATGTCTGAGAGTGTTTTTAAAGCAGAGGTAATTAGAGTGTTGTGGAAGGGAACCCCTCAGGGCACTCACTGCAGCTTTTTCCTTAAAGTCTGAATTAATTTCCTTCCTGTCTTCTCAGATTGTTTTCTGGCAGTGACCCTGGCTGTCCTTTCCTGCAAATGTCCTTTAACAATCATGTCACACTCTGTGTGTGTGTGTGTGTGTGTGTGTAAAAACATGAATACTACAGTATTGAGACTTAGAAACTGGCTTCAGGCTAGCTGTGACCTTGAATAAGTAACTGACTTCTCTGCTTGCTTCCTCGTTTGTCAAATGGATAGCTTTCTTCTACCGTTTGTTTGCTTTCTCATTGTTCAGATGGGAACTTTGCCCCAATGCCGCATAAACAAAAGGCAGGCAGGGGAGAGCTGTGCCCAAGCCTGTGTGTGAGGGCTGTGGATAGGAGCCGGCCTTCCCATTCCCAGCCGCCCTTGCCTCCTCCCCCAGCATCCCTTGTGCCCTTGTGCAGAGTTAGCTGTCTGTGGTGGAAGCACTCGCTGCTTTTCAGGTTAGATCAGCTTTGTCTCCTTGGGACTGCATTAGTTGTGAAGGCCATACAAGTAGTTGTTCTGACTTGAACGGATCTGTTGAACTGTAGGTGCCGGCAGCTTTAAATTTTATTTACTCTCCAAGAAGTCTGTTCTGACACTGCATGCACATGACACCAGACTTCATGGACTCGAGTGTGCAGTGTGAACTGCACACAGGAGATAATCAACGACAACAACATGCTCTCATGTCAGATTGTCGACGTCATAATAAAACACTATGGTGAGACACTGAATTTCCTGTTAGGCTGTTGTGTTCTGGAAAAGATGGCCTCTGCCTTCAGAACCAACCAAGTTTCACTGAAGCCTTTTGTTAAGAGTATTTGAGCCAAAGATTTTGCTGAGTAAAGCCATTTAAATCAGAGAATAAAGTGGGGTTGACAACATAGGCATGGATGTAAATATGTAAGACACCTTCCTGCTTTCCACACCTAAAGACAAGTCAAGTGTTGTGAAAGTCAGGAACTGTTACATAATTTAGAAGGCAGTTTGGCAATACCCTGTAAAGAAAGATGCACATCATATAACCAAGTAGCTCGTGTGAGTGTGTGTGTGTGTGTGTGTATACATGTGTGCACACGTGCACACACACAACCCGTACCACACCCCCATGTGTACACACACACAGGGTATAGAACACTGGCCTGGTGATGCCGGTGGCACACACCTTTAATCCCACACTCAGAAAGCAGAGGCAGGTAGATCTCTGTGAGTTCAAGGCCAGCCTGGTCTACAGAGTGAGTTCCAGGACAGCCAGGTGCACACAGACAAACCCTGTCTCAGGTGAGGGAGGGAGGCTATGGAACATAGCCTTATGCATGCCTGGCCCAAGCATACCCCCCCTCTCCCCCAGGAACATGATTACATTACTGATGAGTAAATTGTACATATTCCTACTGAATTCTGCAAGTTGGTGAAAATGCATCAGGTATGCCCTAGCAATGGATTTCCTTAAGTGTATGTAAGGGCAGAAAGCAGATTGGTAAAGAGCACATACAGCACAAACTCTGCATGTGTCTAAAGCACAGTGTGGTGGTCTGGGTTGAGGGACGATACATATACCAGTCTCCATATAACAATGGAGATTATTTCCAGGAAGTCTTGTTTTTCTGTTCTATTTGGTACTTGGCATTTCTACCCTGATGCTCTAGTATTTTCATTGTGTATCTTCTTTTTCTCTCCCTCCTTCTTTTCCTCCTCCTCCCTTTTCTGTCTTACATATTGCATAATGAAACTTGAAAAACATTAAAGAGAAAGTGTTTGGGAGAATGTTGACCAAGTTGTGTTGGTAAATGTGCACTGGTTGGGGTCATAGTTGATTTCTTTACCTTTGTTATTTGTGTTGATTTTAACTGACCCTGTGCAGTGTGATGGGGATAAATACAGAATTGCTCTCACAAATGAAACAACAGTTTTCTTTTTGTTAACATGCTACTATGCCAAAATGAGTGATGTTTTGGCAAAATGAACATAGGCAAACCTCTGTCACTGAAATTGGCAGGGGTTGCTGGGTGAAGATGTAGGCTCCATGCAGTTCTTTATGGCACATGGCTTCTTTGCCTTAAGGTTTAACTCTGCTGTCATTTTATTCTTCAGGGTATCGGATTTTGGGTTTAGTTATTAACTACACCTTTGTTCTAAGCTGGTGTTTCCCTCTACTGCAATCTCTGCTGCTCCCAGCATCTCACTGTGGAGTTATTGTTCGTCTTCAGTGTGTGATTTCCTGTTGTGCTTTACATGAGTTCCTTTTTCATTTCAAAAGGCATACAGTTTGCTTTTTAGCTTATTGGCTTTTAATATCTAATTTTAGTTCATTGAAGTTAATGAATATATCCAATTGGGTTTTGCTTTAGGGAGTAATTTTGAATTTTTTTTTTCAAAATCATAGTGATTTTTTTTCAGTGGTGACTTGAGTGTTCCCTGCATGATGAAAGTATTTGTGTTGTGGGTGCATGAAGAGTTTTATACATGAAGTTGTTCATTGTGTGACCTGTTCCTTTGTAACCCCAAAGGAATGATGCTGTTTCTCACTCTGATCTGTGAGTTCTGTTATGACCAGCTTTTGCTTTGTGCATGTTGTATTTAAGCTATGTGAAGTTTGAATTATAATTTTATTTCCCATGGTGATATAATTATATTCATTGTGTATCTTCTTTTTCTCTCCCTCCTTTATATTGTAATATAAAAACAACTTGTTTGTATGGACATTCAGCTATACCTCAGTTCCATTATTTATCTGTACTTTAATTATTGGTGTTTAGTAATATATAGCTTTTATTTTTGCATATGATCTGTGAGTCTGTTTTAAAGAGGTAAATTTAGTCTGTGTTATTGCTGGAATATTTGAATTTATTTTTTTAAAATTTGTTCTCTTATATGTCATATTTCCTCAGGTTTCTCTTTCTTCCTTCCTTTCTTCCTTCTTCTTTTTTTTTTTTTTTTTTTGTAAATATATTTTGAGTCAGGGTTTCTCTGTGTAGCTTTGTAGACCAGGCTGGCCTCGGACTCACAGAGATCCGCTTGCATCTGCCTCCTGAGGGTTGAGATTAAAGGTGTGCGCCATTACCGGGCTCAGATTACCCAGGTTTCTTTTCCCAGTTGTTTGCAATATGTACAGTTTGTTTCTTTTTTTGTTGGCTTTTACTCTTAGCAGCCAGAGTTACTACTCATTGTCTATGTTATTTCTCCTCCCCTGCAGTTAAGAAACTTTAGTAGTGCAATTTTGAGTTGCTTCCCTTGGTTTAATGTTACTTTTACTTGTTTTTACAAATGTCTTGGCTTCCCTGTCCTTCACTTGGACAATTGTTTTTCTGTTCCTTATCTTGATGATCCTCCCATGGAGGGTTGTGAATGGTTCTCTATGTCTTTGTCTGTCTAAAATGTATTCACAGTGATACATTCTCATTAATTTTCCTCCTGACTTCTAGATGTTCTCTGCCATCCTTTTCTACAAAAGTGACAGCTGGGTGTCTGGTGTGAGACTGGTTTTGTTTCTTGTCACCGGTTCTGTGTGTCACTTGTCTGTAAGCATTCCGTTAAGTGGGTTTATCTGGGGGTTTATTCTTCTTTGTGATCTTAGTTCTTCATACACTCATTTGTTGTGGGTTGAGGGGACATTAGTTGTTTGTTCATCCTGTGTTTCTGAGATTTTCAAGTAGTTTACCTGTGAATGTGTTGTCTTAGTATTGTAGTCTACTTCTAGTGGATAGAAAACAGCAGGATGTGCACCTAAGCTGGGAGTCTTGATTTTTTTATTTATTGTGTGGCAGATTTGGTATGTTTTCTAGATGCCTACAATCCACTTCTTCTGTCCAGAGCATAGGTCTTCTAGGGCTCCTGTGTAGTTGGGAGGCGGAAAAATCAGAGCAGCATCCCTTGGTTCAATTCCTTCCTGTGTCCAGTGATTGTCTAGAAAGGAGCTGTGTAGCAAGCCCTGTGGGCTGGATATGGGATATGGATTCCTCCTTCATTGGGTCCCAGCTAAAGTCCCTCTTTTGCAAGTCAAGGACTGTGTGTGTGAGTGAGTGTGTATCTGTGAGTGTGTATGAGTATGTTTGTGTGTGTGTGAGAGTGTGTCTGTGAATGTGTATCTCTGTGTGTGAGTGTGTATGAGTATGTTTATGTGTGTGTGTGTCTGTGAATGTGTGTGTGTGAGAGTGTGTGTGTCTGTGAGAGAGAGTGTGTGTGTGTGTGTGAGAGAGAGAGTGTGTGTGTGTGGGGGGGGTGAGGCCAAGGACTGACTAGATCACATGTGGGAAACCATTGCTTTACTCACCTCTGGGCTTCCACACAGTTGTGTCAGGCTTCTTGTAGAGGAAAAAAAATGATGGTGTCCATGAAAGCCATGGAATCTCTTGTTGAAGTCTTGGGAGAACTGTGGGGAGGTCACAGGGTGGCAGTGCAGAGGGGGTTACCCCTTGGAAGAACAGGCAGTGGTATACCTTTCTGTTGGTTTGGGGAGGAGGGATGTGGCTGCTGGAGTGTGGGGGTGGGGCTTCTTTGTTTCCCAGAACAATGCCAGGAAAGCACTTGTTCTTTAAACTGTGCTTTCAAGTTTTCTTTCTTTTAGAACTCCAAGCTGTGAGAACTATATCTTAGGCCTCAGGTTTCCAGCTTTTCTACAGTTGCAGAACCCTGACATTGCTTAGGACTTCTCAGTATCTCTAAAACTTTCAAGTTAAAATTAAAATTGGCATTGAGACTTTTTAAAATCTCTCTTG